ATTCTCTCCTGTTCATCTTTCTGTTAACAGGATTATTAACCCAGCCTTGAAGAACTTAGAAAGAGGGAGGAAAAGTATTATTTTTTTTTTAGGCCCCACAATTGTGTGTCCAGTCGTAGTTTCTTGCAAGCCAGAATACTAGCAAGCAGATTTAATAAAAACATTTTCAGTGGTTCCAGCCACCTTCACTTCACTGTATTTATCCAGAAGCCTTGCAAAATTAAACGCTGGCTGCAGCCCCACTAGAATACTGAGACTGCAGTGTAAGAAGGAGAGCCATTGAACGTGTAGCTCCAGAGGGAACCAGACAGTAAGCAACCCCCTAAAGAAAAAAGTTCACAGCCGTTTCAGATGCTTTTTTTTTGTCTCTGCACTCGGCAGTCTTGTTAAAACAGGATTTTACTTTTTGACGCAAATTTATCGCTTCATGAAAATGCTTGTGACATTTCTAAACCAGCTAAATTAATATACTAAACATCTCTTTCCCTCTCACTATTTTTGCTTAATATATATAGTTATCATGTTCACTTTTCAGTTGGCAAGACATTCCAAAAATAGAAACAGTGTTTTTCTATTTTTAGCTCAGCCTATAAAGTTTAAGCAAATAATCTTCTCTCCAAAGTACTGAACACACATGTTTCAAATTCATGGAAAAACCCAGCGGCAATGAGCTCATAAAAGAAAAACACTGAAAATTTAGTCAAAGATTCTGACATCCTCACCCTGTGTTATAACTAAATATAGATGCTCGACTTCAAACTCAGACATTTTCATTATAATTTATAATGGAAACATTAAAAACACCACTTACATAGCACTAATTTCACTAAAAAATAACTTTTTCTCTAAACTGAAAGTTCAGGTTTCTCCTTAAAAATTAGATGGAAAAAATATCAATTCCTATCTCCTGATCAAACATATTGGTGAATAAAAACCAGCCCAGCCGGTGTGGCTCAACCTATGAACAAGGAGGTCACTGCTTGATTCCTGGTCAGGGCACATGCCCACATTGTGGGCTCAATCCCCAATGGGGGACATGGAGGAGGCAGCCAATCAATGATTCTCTCTCATCATTGATGTTTCTATCTCTCTCTCCCTCTCCCTTCCTCTCTGAAATCAATAAAAATATTTTTTAAAACATGTTTTAAAAATCAGATCTAACTTCCCTTTCTTCCTATAATAAATCATCATTTTCTTTTCTTTAAAAAAGTTTACTTTTGATTAGAATTATTTCCCACTTCTAAAACAATTTCTATTTGCTCATCTTCATTTAGTTCTTTAAAATGATCAAGTTTCACCCTAACTGGTTTGGCTCATTGGATAGAGCATCGGCCTGCGGACTCAAGGGTCCCAGGTCGATTCCGGTCAAGGGAATGTACCTTGGTTGCGGGCACATCCCCAGTAGGGAGTGTGCAGGAGGCAGCTGATCGATGTTTCTCTCTCATCAATGTTTCTAACTCTCTACCCCTCTCCCTTCCTCTCTGTAAAAAATCAATAAAATATATTTTTTTTAAAAAGTTTTAAGATGATCAAGTTTCAATCCAACAATCTCACTCCATATTTACCCAAAGAAATTGAAAACTTATGTCCACACAAAGTCCCGCACATGGATGTCTTTAGCAGCTTTATTATAATTACCAAAACTTGGAAGCATCCAAGATGCCATTTCATAGGTGAATGGCCCCAGAGAGATAATCTGTCCCTTCCCCCATGTGAAGACACGCGAGAAGATGACCATCTATGAATGAGGCAGCGGGCTTTCACCAGGCACCGAATCGGTCAGCACCTTGATCTTGGACTTCCCAGCCTCCACAGCTGTGAGCAATAAATGTCTGTTGTTTATAAGCCACTTGGTCTATGGTGTTTTTGTTATAGCGACCCAAATGGACCCAAACAAGTAATAATAATCGTAACAGAATATAATGTGTATTGAGTGCTTAGTACCTTCAAGATACTGCTAAAACCAGCAAACCTGGACAGCGCTCAGTGTGGGCCAGGCATTGTTCTAAAGCTTCTACAATGTGTGAGGCAGGGACCAGGATTACCTTATTTCTGATGGGAAACTGGAGGGTCAGAACCAGGATTTGAGCCTAAGCGCTCTGTCAACTTAACCTACTTCACTACATGGCCCCTAGTTATTATCTCAAAACTCCACTGCAAAGTATTATTTATTCTGTTTTACAGACAAAGAAGCTGAGGTTCAGAAAGGTAAAATACCATAACTCAGCCAAGGTTGCACCTGGGTAAGCTGAGGCGCTCTCTGCAATGTCAGGAAAACAAATGGTCCAAACTGCTATCAACACAGGACTTTGTGCTCTGAGATTTCAGGGATCTAGTCTGGTCAAGAGAGGTTCTCGAGACAACCACCAGCTCCCCGGCAACTGCAGGCTTTTTCAGGGAAGAAGTTCTGCCTCATTCGTTGGGCCAGGGGCTAAGTCAATGCCAGATAGACTCCATGTCATCTGAAATGGCAGCAGATTCTAACGAACAGTCAAATGAGTGAGTGAGGAAGGAAAGGGAAAAGTTGCAAGTTCTCTTTGGGTCTAAGGCAGCAGGGCCTCCTCAGGGCTAAGGAGGCCTACAACAGACTCCCCACTGAGGCCCCACCAGGGGCTGGCAAACCCAACCTGAACCTGGGACCAAGCAGGGCTGGGCTGCAGGGTGCGGGAGAGATGGACACAGTGGTCCTCCTGGTGAAACACTGGCCTGGCTGATGGACTGATGGACCCTGACCTCCCAGTGCCCAGGAAATTTGGTTGAATGGGAGCCTGATTCCTTGGTTAGATGAATCCGTGCGTCTAGGACAGGGGTCCTCAAACTTTTTAAACAGGGGGCCAGTTCAACCTGAACCTGGGACCAAGCAGGGCCGGACTATAGTTTAAAAAAAAGATGGACACAGTGGTCCTCCCGGTGAAACACTGGCCTGGCTGGTGGACTGAAGGACCCTGACCTCCCAGTGCCCAGGAAATTTGGTTGAATGGGAGCCTGATTCCTGGGTTAGATGAGTCAGTGCGTCGGACAATGTTTCCTCACAAGAAGCAGATCACACTGATGTTGTGGTACAAGGGCCACACACAGGCTGGCCAAGTCCAAGAAAGGGACACACATCTCTCTGGGCCAAGAAATGTTGCTTTGCACTTCATATCATAGTTGACATGTAGCTTTTATAGTTGGCCATTTCAAGTATCCAACTCTGGTCTACTGTGAGCACAGCCGTGACCTTGAGCCACTGAAGTATCCGTTAACTCATTCAGTCACTTAATAACTGTCTATGGCGCATGACTGCACACCAGTCTCTGGGGATGCTACAGTAAACACGCCACCTGCCCCAGAAGAACATCGTAGGGTCCAGTGGGCACCTACAGCAAGTAAACAGGAAACTATGTGACTGGGTGAGAAGTGCTTTGAGAAGGAAAAGAGAAGATGCTATGAAAGGATGCAGAGAAGGCCTTTAGCCCGACACGGGGGGCCTATTAGACACCCGGAGGAAGTGAGGCTTAAGGAAGCACACAAAGGCCAAGTAGAATTGCCCCACGAGAGGTTAAAAGAGGAGCCAGATTATTCCTCATCTACAAAGAAGGAGAATCTGACACTGAGCTTTTCACTACATACAGCATTCTTGTTTCTTAAATGTTTTTAAATAATAAGATATTTCACCCTGGCTGAATGGTTGAGTTGCTTGGAGCATCATCCCATATACCAAAAGGTTGGGGGTTCAATTTCCAGTCAGGGCACATACCTAGACTGTAGGTTTGATCCCTGGTCGGGGCGCCTATGGGAGGCAACCAATTGATGTTTCTGTTTCACATCATTGTTTCTCTCTCTCTCTCTCTCTCTCTCTCTCTCTCTCTCTCTCTCATCAATAAACAAATCCTTTGGTGATGCTAAAGATGCTAAAGAATAAGAAAGATGCTAAAGAATAAGAATAAGAATGAATAAGAATAAGAATAAGAAGAAGAAGAAGAAGAATATTTGAAAAAAATAAATAGAATAGGACAGATACCTAGGTAGCTAGCACCCAGTTTTAACAGTTTTAAATATTTGCACATATGTACTTTTTTTAAAGTAAATTGTTACTTAGAGCGTTCTCCTTCTATCCCCAGAGGTAACTACCACTGTGCTAGTTTTTGTATACGAACCTTAGAAATTACCTTATAAACTGAAGGTAGGACCCTCCACCAGCAAAAAGATTAAAACTGGCTGAAGGCTCAGATAATGGTTAGCATTTTTTAGCAATAGAGTATTTTTTAATTAAGGTACCAACAATGGTTCAATATCTTTTAGACATAATGCTATTGCACACTTAGTAGACTACATTATATTGTAAAAATTACTTTTATATGGACTGGGAAGCCGAAAAATTCATGTAATTCACTTTATTTTGATATTCACTTTGTTGCGGGTAGTCTGGAACCAAACCCGCAATCCCTCTGAGGTATGCCCATACTTGGGACATCATGGTGAACAAAACAGACGCAGTCCCTGCCCTCAGGGGGCTCACAATCTGGTGGAGGAAACAGTCAAGTAAGAAAACTAGTGAAATACACAACCACAAAGGAAAGTAAGTGCTCTGAAGGAAGAGAACAAGGTAATGTGAGAAAGAAAGGCTGTAGGCACGGGACCTATGTTATAATGACAGTCAACAGGCCTCTATGAATACTAAAACTGAGACCCGAATTAGTTAGCCATGTCACAAGTTAGGAGAAAATCAGATGCAAAGGCTCTGTGAGTGGAAGGAGGAAAATATCTTTGTGGGTACCAGAAAGTGAGGTACCAAGAGCTGGAGCCTGGCTGGCATGGCTCAGTGGTTGAGCATCGATTCCCAATCATGCCCAGGTTTCCAGCTCCATCCCCAGTGTGTGTGTGTGGGGAGGGGGGGGGGGGGGGGGGGGGGGAGGTACGGGGCATATAGAGGCAGATAATCAATAATTCTCTCTCATCATTGATGTTTCTATCTCTCTCTCTCTCCATTTTCCTGCCTCTCTGAAATCAATAAAAAAAAATTTTAAGTTAGAGCTGGAGATAAAAGCAAGGAAAGGATTACCCAAGGTCTGAAAGGCTGTGGTAAGGAGTTTGACTTTATCCTAAACATAATGGGGGAATTCTTGGTGGGTTGGAGGAGAGGAATTGCTAGTACATGGTTCAATTCTTTACTCAGTCACTCTGATCACTATATGGAGAATGGGATATTGGGGGGCCGGATGCAAACAAGAAGCCAGTTCTCCAGTTAGAAGGCTATAATGGTGGTGGCTTGGATTAGGCTGGTGGCTGGCAGTGAAGATTAGATAGAAGCTGATGGATTCCAGATATAATTTGGAAATAGAACCAACAGGACGTGCAATTGGATGGAAGGTAGGGCATAGTGAGAGAGAGGAATCAAGAATGACCATGAGGTTAAAAACATGAATAAGAAACCATCTACAATTACTTCTCAAACATTTTATGATTTGCCTTGAAATTTTTAACTGAAACCCTCTTCAGTGAGTAGTGTGAGGGGAAGAGAAGGCCACGAAATCGTGGCTCTTCTTCAAGGAACAGGATGACAGTGCAGAACTGAGACTTTGTATCTTTTCTGGGGGTCAGTCCTCAGCATCCTTTGGTTGGGAAGGAATCTGGAACCCTTGGTATCTAGCTGCCTCGATGGTTCTCAACCAGTCACATCCAGTTGGTTTCCTGTGGAATAAGACGTTCAGACGTAACTACCACCCACTTTCAGTAGCAGCAGCAAAACGAACATGTCTGATACATACTCACTAAATCCTGGAATTCAGCAACCACAGAGGAACTCCTCAAGCCTCACAGATGATGTAGACCCAAGACCTTCCGTCATCAGAAATCTGACTCTATCTAAGCTTTGTACAGAATCCAAGGCATGGGCATAAAGCTGCTTAAAGTTATAAGACGTCAGAAGCAAAATGAAAAGTCATGTATATTATTGAACTGTGCAAACAGTTTAAGATCATCAATGTCTGAGCCACAAGCATGCTGCCAATTTTTTCAGCATTCTACTTATCTTTCGATCTTTTGATTGTGGGCCCTGGCTTCTGGGACCTCCCTAAGGCTTCTATCTGGTTGATGCCAGACTGGGACGAGAAGACGTGGGAAGCTCTTGACCTGACCCTGGCCTTTCTCCTTTGCTATTTCCTGTCTCCTGTTTTCTTTGCAAGAGCAAATATTGTTCGCACATCCCCAAAAGTAGGAGCCTTGGGTTAGAAGGAGTATGGAACCTGGGAGAATAAGAAAGAACACGACCCACTTTATATTGAAATAAAATGTTAATTACAGTAGAAACCATTGTTGGAATAGCTAACTTACACGCCTAGATTGTGATCTGGGAGCCAACAGGACCTCATGCAAAGAGCAGAGGCCTAAGGTCAGACAGAGCCGGTGGGGATCTCAAGGTACCACTTGAGAGCTAGGAGACTTGGGCAAGGTTACAAAACTTCCAAGCACCTATCTTCCAGGCATTCTGAAATGATCAAAAACCATTTAGGTAAAGAGCAACCATAAAGAAATACCAGCTGCCTTTATAGCATTTCCTAACTTATAATGTACTTTTGCCTACATGGTTTCACTTCCTACTAACCTTTAGTAAATTCAAGTCTTCCATTGTTGACTAACGCAGCGCCCCAAAGTTCTTCTTATTACAAGATGTCAACTATGTCTCACCGTGACTTCCCTCATTGGTAGAGCCGCAGTGATGAGTAGAGTCACAAGACCTGTCTGGGCTCAGTGGTGATGTCCTAGGTAATGTGAGCACTATGGGTACAAGAGTGTTGTAAGGACTGCATATAGTTGCCAACCCTACTCCAGCCTTGTCTCTTGATGGACAGCAGCTAAGTGTCACTTCTCTTTCTAAGGCCGTGAGATAAGCTGAAGGCAGTTTTGCAGGGGGTTCTTTCAGTTCAAAGATAAATATGCTTGTTCTCTAATTCATTCCAGGAATCTCTGAAACATGGCCATCTGAGTGCCTATATTTGAGTTCATGTGCAAAAAAAGCCCACCTGTTTATTTGCATAACGCCCACCTCCAAAACCAAAGGCCATTCAAAGGCACCATTAGAATTCTTACTCTGAAGCTGAGACAGCAAGCTAGTCTGTGACAGAGCCCTAACTGCATCTGGTTTATCAAGTGATTCATTTAACTGCTACATGGAGCTTGAGAACTCAAGTGCCAAAAGGGCTCAGGCAGCAAATGTAAATATGTGAATGGCAGGTGGAAGGCAATGGGGCTGGGGAGACTGGTGTAATAAACTGCGCATGCCAGTCTGCAGGCATTCAAATTGAATGGCTTTTCTTTAAACACTATGGAAGATAAATAAAAATATATCTACTAGTATAGGACACCTGTCTGCTACTTTGCTCCAATATACCATTAGCATCTTTTAAGTGTTTTGACACATTCATTTTCTAAATGAATGGCCTGAAAATGGTTCTCTGATTTGGAAAAGTAAAAGATACAGGAAAAGCTTCCTAACGAAGGAATAGACAAGGACTTGTGAGGTCTAGAGGTGTGACAGCAAATCCAATCCAGGAGAGCTTTCTGGAGGAGGTGGCAGTGAGCTGGGAGAGATGAAATGCTTCAGTTAAGCAAAGAAGAGAAAAACCTCTCCAGATAAAAGAAATGGAAATGGGCAAAAAGAAGAGAGCTTAGAGAACTTTGGAAAAGTACTAGTAAACAGTCCCATTTTGTTAAAGAATGGGATACAAAATTTTTGACTTAGAGGAAAAAGTATGAAAAATCATCTGAGACCAGATGGTCAAGGCCCTGGACTGCCAAGCTAAGGCGTTTGGCAGGTATTGGTTGGGGTTGGAAGGTGGACAGGCCAGAGAGCTTTTGAAATGAAATGGCCTAATCAGAGAATGGGTTTTCCAGGTGATAAATCTCCTGTTGATCTCACAGACTTTTTCTTAAGCATACTTTTTCCCTTGAGAATTTCAATCTGAAAAATCATGCCATTATTCTTAGCATATGTTTGTAAAAGTAAACTTAATCACCATAAATGTAGAAAAAGGGGCATTAAGATTAGTAGCAAACCCACCACATGTGGCCATCTGTTGCTGTGGCTCTGAGTAGAGATTAGAAAAAAAAAAAAAGAAGCATTTTTAAAAAACATAGAGGCTATAGCTAAAAATCATATTTTCCAAGGTAAGTTTCCACCAGTGACTACTTATCATTTTACTTGTCTGGCATTTTCAATAAAATACACCATCTACAGGCCATCACGAACAGCTATCATCTGTTGGATTATAAATAGTATGAATTAAAAAGGAAGAAACAGAGGAAGGCAGGAGGGAGGAAAGGCTATGCCACTTGTCAGGAAATGTAAATCAAATGTCAGAATTGACCTTTTTAAAAGTAATGATGAAGAAAAAAGAAAAACATCAATCTCTTTTGAACTTTTATGAACAAGTGCTGGAGGTTAAAAAACATTAGAATTTGGAGTAAAAAAAGGCTATATTACAATATCAACTCTCTCCCTTTATTATGCACTAGAGGCCTGCTGCACGAAATTTGTGCATGGGTACGGTCCCTAGGCTTGGCCTGTGATCAGGGCAATCTTCCCCGACTGCCAGCAGCCGGCCCCACGTCCTGCTGCCATCCACCCTTGGTTCCCCGTTTGCCATCGGGCAATTGGAGCCTGCAGGCCGAGGGGAGGGACCAAGAGGTGGTCAGTGTGCCTCATAGCAACTGGTTGAGTGGTCGTTCTGGTTGTTCTGCTGTTCGGTCTATTTGCATATTACTCTTTTAAATATATAGACTAGAGGCCCGGTGCACGAAATTCGTGCATGAGGCGGGGGGCCTCAGCCCGGCCTGCACCTTCTCACAATACAGGACCCCTCTGGGGATGTCCGACCGCCGGTTTAGGCCCGATCCTAAACCGGTGGTCAGAAATTCCTCTAACAATCCAGGACCACTGGCTCCTAACCGCTCGCCTGCCTGCCTGCCTGATTGCCCCTAACCACTCTGCCTGCCTGCCTGATTGCCCCTAACCACTCTGCCTGCCTGCCTGATTGCCTCTAACCACTTGCCTGCCTGCCTGATCACCCCTAACCACTCCGCCTGCCTGCCTGCCTGCCTAATCGCCCCAACCACTCGCCTGCCTGCCTGATCGCCCCTAACCACTCCGCCTGCCTGCCTAATCGCCTCTACCCACTCGTCTGCTTGCCTGATCACCTCTAACCACTCTGCCTGTCTGCCTGATCACCCCTAACCGCTTGCCTGCCTGCCTGCCTGATCACCCCTAACCCCTCTGCCTCCCTGCCCGATTGCCCCTAACTGCCTCTACCTCAGCCCCCACCACCACAGCTTCATCAGGAAGGATGTCCAGAATGACGTCCAGAAGGTCGTTCGGCTGTCTAGTCTAATTAGCATATTACGCTTTTATTATTATAGATTCTTGTGATGATAAATTGGCTTATCTCAAAAGGGTGATAATATTTGCTCCTTTAATGGTTGTGAAGAATAAAAGCATTGCATAAAATTATGTCTCGTGTACTTTCGGTTCTTTCCTTCCTTTGGAAAGGAAGGGATTTGCCTGCCACATTGTGCTGGTGTGGCCATGGGCATTATACCATCGCCTCAGCTGCTTCCATTCCCCTAACCCATGAAGGGAATCCATGTGGATGTATGTAGTCAGTTTGGGGCTTCATGAAAGGGGAGGGAGGGAGGGGTGCAGACAACCCCAAAGACCAGATAACAGTAATCCTGTATGTTTCACTGTGGCATACATCGAGTGACTTCTCTGGGGGAATGCATTCCTATACTCCCTTTCTTTAGATTAATATTAAAATTAGTTGACACCATATGAGGTCAAGGGGGAAAGACACAGAATGGAATTACAGGGAAAAGCCATTTGGAGATTTTAAATGTGCTAAAGCAAAATACGATGAGGCTAATAAGCTGGAAATTCATTCATTTATCCACAAATATTTACTGAACACCTATTGGGGGCCAGATACTGTGTAGGCTGTGGGGATACATCTGTTAACAAAACATACAAAAATCCCTGTCCTCACAAAACGTACGTCCTAGTGAAGAGAGAGGCAGACAACCATAAAAAAATTCTTAATGCCATAGAAGCGACTGCATAGATTATAATCTAAATACACAAATAGAAAAAATGGAAGGTGTCACTCTTTAGGTAAAGCCCTCTGATCGTGAACCCGGTTATTCCTGGAGCATGAGCTGATCATGACAAATGAAGGGTAAAGATTTTGGGAGGAAAGAGTAGCAGTGGAAACTGCACATTGCAGACTAATGTGAATAGTGTGGTTATGAGAGAAAAAAAGGCGAGAGGTCTGTATGTGTGCCTGCATCTCTCCACACGTCTACATTACTTAGAAAACAAATGAGGGAGGCACATGTTCCAGAATCCAGATGGAAAGGACAATTCCTTTTTCATTTTTCACGATTTCTTACATTTACCAGAATATAAGTGGCTTTTAATTTGCTTATGCTTTACCATATTTTTCAGATAAAAATAAAAATAATTAAAGATGGGTGAGATGGTTCTATATGTACTGACATAGAAATCAGTTTTTGATAAATTAAAAAACAAAATCTAGGTTACAGAGCTTTGCATCCTGCGATCCTATATGTGGAAAATACATAGACTTTTTATTTTTTTAAATTCTTTATTGTTGAAAGTATTACATATGTCTCCTTTTTTCCCCCATTGTCCTCTCCCTGCTTGCTCCTGCCCCCATCACAGGCCCTCACCTCCCTATTGTCTGTGTCCATTGGTTATGCGTATAGGCAGGCACACAAGTCCTTTGGTTGATTTCTTACACCCCCTCCCACCCTCCCCTGCCTTCCCTCTGAGGTTTGATGGTCTGTTCCATGCTTCTAATTACATTGACTTTTTAAAATGTCAACTAGTGTTAGAGCTGAGAGATTATCCCACCACAGTCGCAGCGCAGCATCTCTGAGTCCTCTCCCTTCCTCACCACCTACGGCATCGCTAAGTGACGGCTTGTGTATCAGAATGCCCTTCCCAATGTATCCCCTCCTTCCCATTCCACGTGCCACTGTCCTAGGCCAGCCCTCATCAACTCTCACTTGGACGACTGCATAAGTCTCCTTTGTGGTTTCACTCCATCCTCCACAGGCTAGATTTACTGCTCAAAACACAGATCTGATTATGTCACTGTCTTGATTCTCCATGACAACTGGATCAAGCCCAGTCTTGGCATCGCTTCCAAGAATCGTCCAAATCTGGACTCACCGACCTGTGGTGGACAATGCTTCCTACCTAATCACAATCCCCCCTTCCTCTTTACGACCAGAACCCTAATTCTGTTCAATTAATGAACAAAGGCATGTGATCTCAGGCTTTATCCCAGGGATACTCAGAAAATGACACATAGTAGGCAATCCACTTTTTTAAACTAAATTAATGAATGGTATAAATTAGTCATGTTTATACCATTCCTCTTCCCAAGTGATTTGTCTACAAGTCAACACATGTCTCAGTCCTGGGCAATAAGATAGTAGACGAGTGGAACTCACTTGTACAAGGAACGACAGTAGCCTCTTGGAGCCATGAGGTCACAAACCAAAAGGCCAACATCAATATGCTAAAGAGGGCAGCGTGTAAGGAGATGAAAGCTTGTATTATTGATGATATAGATCCAGCCACTCTGGAACGGCTTACCTCTAAATCCTGAGATAAAAGCCTGTGATATTAATGATTTAGATACAGTCATTCTGAAACTGCTTCCTACTAAATCCTTATTAAGTGAGATGTCAAAATATCTTTATTGCCTAAACTGGAGTTTAATGTGCCTACAAGTCACTTGGAAATCTCATTAAAAAGGAAATTCTGACTAAGTAAGTCCAAGGCAGAGCTCAAGACTCTACATTAATAACAGGCACCCAGGTAACGTTGCCATCT